TATGGAAATTGTGAGCCTACAGGAAGTTCTGTCTTGGCCTTGGCTTACAGCAAAAAGAAAAAGGCTGGCCCACACCCCAGACGATGGGTGATCTAAACATTCTTTGAATTCTCTCAATCTGTTTCTTTGTCTTAAGATCACCCACTTATTTATTTATTTATTTTTGTATTTATTTTGTTTTTTTGAGACAAAGTCATGCTATGTAGTTCATGCTGACCTTGAGCTCACTATGTAGCCCAGGCTGGTCTCAAACTCACAGTGATCCTCCTGCCTCGGCCTCCCAAGTGCTGGGATTATAGATGTGCGCCACCATGCCTGACTTCTGCCCTTTAATAACTAAGCTAATCCATGGACTTACAGTATCCTTAAGGAATTTTGGGTGTGGTTGGTCTGGAGGGAAAGAAGCATCCATCAACCTAGAGAATACAGAGATGGATCACCTTGGGTAACTGTGTCCTGGAAGTCGCAGTCGTCCTAAAAGTACAATTTTTAAAATTAAGATTTTCTTGCCTCTTTGTACCTATCTTTACTTCTTCCATTCTACCTCGTGATGGCTGACACTTGACAAGAGTCTCAATCGTAAAGTCACCTAGGCATTGGTGACTTGTCACTGGACAGGTCCTCGGAGGTCTCCTGGGAAAGGTTGTAGGTTTGCTGACTTCTGCCAGGAACAAGTTCCAGGATGTGTTCAGTGAGGTGTTGGAAGGCTTATCAGACAGAAAGAAGCATATGCCTAGGGTGGAGGGTGCTCATAGGATGAGGCATGTTATGGTCTGGGGCTGGGTTTTTTAATGTGGTCTTGGGGTATCCTCAAGCTGGGTGATTAGGATGTGTGTCCTTACAGTGCCATCTGTCAAGTTACCCATCCGGGGGGCAAGTTACAGTGCAAACTATTTACATGTGTTTAAAGCTACGATATACTGCCCAATAAATTACTGCTTCCTTTAGGATGCAGATTTGTAGGAGGGAGCAGCTTACAGGTGAAAGACACAGCCATGTCCCCAGTTTACAGACTTATTGTGTCCTCAGAGCACTTAGAGATTTTTTTCTTTTTTTTTTTTTTTGGAGTTCTCTGAAAGAGAAAGAGGCTTTGTGACCTTGGATAACTTTTGTGTTCTGAAGCTGCAGGGGGTTTTTTGTTTTTGTTTTTATTATGCGGTCTTGCTCAGCTCAGGCTGGCCTTGAACTCTGTAGCAGAGGCTGACCTCAAACTCATGGCAGTCCTCCTGCCTCAGCCTCCTGAGTACTGGGGCTAAAAGTGTGCATCACCATGCTTGGCTCCAGTTTTCTTTTTTTGTCCGTCCCCCCCCCCCCCCCCCCCCGTACTGGGAATCGAACTCACGACCTTGCGCTTGCGAGGCAGGCCTGGCTACAGTTTTCTTAAAAGTACAGTTGTTACTGTCATTGTCTCCTTTCTGTCTGTCTTTGCTGCTTTTATCTGACCTCAGACTGAGGCGAAAGAATTGCAAGTTTTAAATCGGAGGCCAAGGAGCACAAGACAGTGAGACCCTGTCTCAAAAAGAAAAAAAAAAAGAAGAATTCCGATCTTACCATGACTCCAAGGAGGGCTCACGCGGAATAGTGCTGTGTCAATTGAAGAGGTCCCCCAACTTAGTGATTCCACCTTCCACTGCTTCTGAGGGATTTTACAGCTCCAAATAGTAGGGAGCTGATAGACATGTTGACCCTCTCCTATCTGTGACTTCCTTCCACCCTGAGGAAAAATCCAATTTTTGTCTCACTTTGTAATTCATTTTGATTATTCTTACTCTAATTTGTGTTCCTGCACTTCTGTTTTGAATTGGTTATTACATCTACCTGGTTCTCCCATGAGTAGAATAAAATCTTTAACACATTTTTATATCCCCTACCTATATGAGACTCATGATATTACCTTCACTGCAAATTATTTGTGTGTGTGTGTGTGTGTGTGTGTGTGTGTTACTGGGGATTGAACCCAGGGCTTTTGCATTGAGCTACATACCTAGTTCTTTTATTTTTTATTTTTTGTAGGACAAGTTCTCACTAAGTCATTACATTGCTCAGGCTAGGCTCCAACAGAACAATCCTCCTGCCTCAGCCTCCCAGAATGCCAGGATTTCAGGCATGTACCACCATACCTGGCTGCAGATTAACTTTTTTATTTTAATTTTAATCTTTATTGGTACATTTTAGATATACACGTTGACAACATTCATCTTAGGGAATCTCTACCTGTACGTGGTATATCTTGCTTCTTCATTTTTTCCCATTCCTCTCCCCTCCCTTCAACCCCTCTTCCCCTCTTTATATATAAAAGTTTTGTTTCCTTTTTTCCCCTTCTATTCTTTCTTTTCTTTTGGTTTTTTTTTTTTTTTTTTTTTTTT